GTTGACCACAAGCTTAACGGGAGTTGAGTTGCTTCCTTAGCAGCTATATAAAATTTGCCGTTTTTTATCAGAAAAGTGGCTAGCAAATTTTTTGTCCAGTCCTAGCTCCCCTATGTGACGCTTTTATTCTTCGACACTATGTCATGTACCAGAATACATGCCATTTTATGCAAAGTACTCCTTAACCATTTCACTGCTGTACGATGTACAGATCTGACAGCGGGGCGTTTTACACACAATGCAGTGGCTGCAGCCACCGGGATTGTGACTAAAGCTCACAGGCAGACTCCTGCCTGTCAGGTGGAAGCAGTCAGGTAGGTGTGCTGCCGCCCGATTGCTGCCACAGTCCCCAGTAAAAACCCCCCCCCACGCTCCCACAATGTATTCTGGGCTCCACTTGCCCATCTGTGAGCCGGGGCCGACATGCCGGTTGCAGGATACTTTAAGTAAACCCTAAAGTTAGTACCATTGGTGTCAATGCCTACCCGGTGCATAATTTAGCAGACACAAATACCCCATTATCAGAGGTTCCTTCAGAGGTACCTTCATCCAAGGTTGAGAATTTCTGCCCTATCAAGTAAAAAATTGGGCTTTGAAGCACTTTGTCTTATGGGTATGTCAGAATGCAGTGATGCTTCCTGGGTTTCTTTAAAGGGAACATATACATTCACCGGCCACTTTATTAGGTCCACCTTGCTAGTGCCAAGAAAATCTCCCCCACAACATGACACCACCACCAGCCTGAACCGTTAATACAAGGCAGGATGGATCCACCACACCATGACACCACCACCACCACCAGTCTGAACCATTGATACAAGGCAGGATGGATCCCCCACACCATGACACCACCACCACCAGCCTGAACCATTGATACAAGGCAGGATGGATCCACCACACCATGACACCACCACCAGTCTGAACCATTGATACAAGGAAGGATGGATCCATGCTTTCATGTTTTTTACGCTAAATTCTGACCCTACCATCTGAATGTTGAAGCAACCAGTCTTCCCATTCTCCTCTGACCTCCGACATCAACAAGGCATTTTCCTCCACATAACTACAGCTCACTGGATATTTTCTCTTTTTTGGACCATTCTCTTTAAACCCTAGAGATGGTTGTGCGTGAAAATCCCAGTAGATCATCGTTTTTTTTGAAATACTCAGACCAGCCCGTCTGCCACCAACAAACACGCCATGTTCAAAATCACTTCAATCCCTTTTCTTCCCCATTCTGATGCTCGGTTTGAACTTCAGCAAGTCATTATCACCACGTCAACATGTCTAAATGCACTGAGTTGCTGCCATGTGATTGGCTGATTAGCAATTTGTGTTACCAAGAAACCCCCCAATTGAACAGGTGTACCTAATAAAGTGGTCGGTGAGTGTAATTGGTTTTGGTCATTTTTATTATTTGACGTTTATAAACTTTTTTTTATTTGATACAGTTTACAGAATATGCTGATGCTGGACTTTTAGTAAAAATAAGAAATCTCAGCATTGCCTACACATTTGTTGGCAGCCAATGTGTGACTAATTTCAGGTGGTAATATAATTGCTAGAGGAGGGGGCCCCAGAAGCCAGTGTCTTCCTTTCCTAAGTGCTCACTCAGACCCGATGACAGTCCTCGGCCTAACTGAACACCTGTGGGATGGATCGGAACCCCAACTACAAACCAGGCCTAAATGGTCAACATCAGATCCAGTCAAACTAATGCTATTTTAGTTGTATGGAAGCCAATCCCACCTACAGTCTTGCTACATCTAATGAAAAGCCTTCCCTTACATCATCTCCCATAGTTCTGTCCTGACATGCGTGCAACTGATGCCAATATTTCTGCAAACAAGTTTATCCTGTAATATTATAATGATGCATTTGGGACCACAAGTCAATGCGCCAAAAAATTTATATTGTTAAAGAATGCTAACTTTCATTAAGTTATAGAGTGGCGTGCACTGCGAGTTGAGTTTGTTGCTGAATGCTGATCTAAGAGCTGGAAGTTGATATTTGCATATTGAGAACCCCAGGATCAGAAGCACTCCGGAGGATAAATTATGGTACATGTGAACATCACTTGGTGGATCTCCATCTCTCCTTACCTCTGCTGATGGTCTGCTTCTTTCTGTTCTGGGGACAGGTTGGGGAAACGTGAGGCCATGATGGACCCTGAAGGTCACCAAGGTCCTGCACATTTATTGTTTTTAATATCAGTAGGCTGGATTTATACAGCAATACCAGTAAGCAGGATGTATGTAGCACCAACAGTTACAAAAGGTAATAACTGCAAGGAATGAGTGGATGTAGAATGCAAGGGTTCGTCTTTTAGGAGGTGGGATAGGCTTCGCTGTACAGGTGAGTTTTTCTAGGATCACCTAAAGGCAGACAGAACTGGAGATAGCCGGACCGATTGGGGCAGGGCATTCCAGAGGCTTTGAAAGATTCTGGAGAAGTCCTGTAAGTGAGCCAGGAGGAGGTGAGAAGAGGGTTAGAGAGCTGGAGGTCCTGGGAGGAGGAAAGAGGAAGTTTTGGTGATATTTTGAGATGATATTGGTGATGTAACTCAGGGAAGAGTTGTGGATGGGGTATGGAGTTCCAGAGTATGGAATAGGCTCTGGAGAAGTTCTGGAGGTCAGCATGGGAGGAGGTGATAAGGAAGCTAAAAAGCAGGAAGTCTCTAAAGGAGCAACAAAGGGCAGTTTGGGTGATATTTTGGGATAAGTTTGGGTACGTAGCTCTGGGCAGAGTTTTGGATGGCTCTGAAGGTTGTTGTTAGTAGTGCAGATTGGCAGAGAGGGGTGGTGGACACTGAGTAGTTTGTTTTCCATTCATTTTTATTGAGTTCTTGTTTTTTCATTCTTCAACACAGTAATACAAGTTGGTACAAAGCAGTTGCTAAGGTGGATAGGTCTGGCATCAACCTTCGTAACAGACTGAAGAGGGAATAGCCTGTGTGGAGGCAGGCCAATGAGGAGGGAGTTACAACAGTCAAGGGGAGAGATAACAAGTGAGTGAGATAGTAGCTTTTGTGTTGTCATTGGTGAAGAAAGTTTGACATTTTATTGGAAACCATTGAAAGGAAGCATTAGATAGTTTTATTATACAAAATAAAACAAAAACCACAGCAAGACCTACATATGTAATAACCAAATACAATATAAGGCCAAAAGTCTTATGGGTTTCCTCTAAATTGGCAAAGAAAAACACAACAAAATAAAGCCATATTTCTATTATGTATGTAGATTAAAGAATCGATTTACCACAAAGCATTTTTTTTTAGGTGGAGCCTTGTGGATTGAGCCAGGTCCTGTTTCCCTTGTTTTTTTGAATACTCCCTTCCATAATTCCAAACTCTTCCTCACCACCTGCAAGTTTTGGGTGTTCCTGCCCAGCCTTGTGTGTTCCACATTCTCCTGTTACATTTTCCCTAACATAAAATATGGAATTTCCACTTCCATACATTTTCCATAAAATAAATACAAATCCAGCAGGGATGGAGGGATCTCTCATAATGGGCAGAACAGGTGTGAAGACCTGGGAATTGGAAACTCAACGCAGAGATCACACCAATAGGATCCCCAAAAAGTATAAGAAACTGTGAGGGTTTACTTTTCCAGCATCAACCAAACACTAAAATATTTATTCCAGGAAGACTGACCCTTTAATTGTTAAACCCAAGCTTCTTGAAGACCTAAAACATACACATCAACTTATTTTCTGTTGCCCCAAGTTACATAGATATTGGAGTGAGGTTCTCTAATTTATTTCTCTAGTATCTCAATATTCTGTTCCCCAGGATCCCTTGCATTGTCTGTTGGGGGCACTGGACCAAGAACTATTCCAACCAGGAGGGTATATTATATTATCCAGACTTTTATATCTGGCTAGGAATATAAAAGTCTATATAAACGATAACCAGTACCTTGATAGCAAGGTACTGGTTATTGTTGGCTCCTCCAACTAGTAAGCAATGGATAGATTATGTTAATTCTTTACTCCCGCAGGAGAAACTCACGTTCCAACATCACAATGCCTATCATAAGTTCCAGCAAGTATGGTGGGGTTGGCTGGGTACACCTGGGCTCGCCCCTCCTCAATTGATAGAGGACCGACTTTTGCAGGTGTGACATTTTATATCAGGTGCGTGGCTCCACTCCTCCCCCTGGGGGAGTTCATGTGCATCTCCCATTCTTTTGATGAGACGTCTTGGGTGAACCAGTGGTTGTTGTTGATGTGGTTTTTTTTTTATTGTTTGAAGACATGTTTTGGGTTTTGTTCCTTTTCCCTATTTCTGTTTACATCTGGTCGGGAAGGAATAAGACATAAAAAGGAAAAATCATGAAATTGTCAAGAAAGTTTTGGATCCTTGTGGTCTCTGTTTTGTTTGATTAACTTTTCTGTTATTCTGTTTATTACGGGATCTGCGTATCCACGTTGTTCTATTTATGTGTAATCCTGCTGTTGCAGTAATGTCATTGTGGATTCTGCAAGTTCTGTTCCATTTTCTCTATTATCTTGACAATAAATGTAGTTTGGATTAAAACTTAATTTCTGAACTTATTTGTTTTGGTTTCTTTGTATGCATGGATTGCATGGGTTGTTACTGACATGTGGTGAAAATTTCATGTCAATAGCACCTTTAGAACTACTGAGAAAAATGGTGACGTGTTCCATACTTATTTTACCACCCGCTGTATATAGCTAACGTACAATCTAAGGTCTCACATTCATACATACAGATACTATGGACAATTTAGAGCTATCAGCATGTCTTTTGAAGTGTGGGAGGAAACCCACGCAGGCACAGGGGAGAACATGCAAACTCCAGGCAAGTAGTGCCATGGTTGGGATTTGAACCAACAACCCTAGTGCTGCCAGGTGGAAGTGCCACTGTGTTGTCCAGATTTCATTTGTTTATTTAGCTGTTTGCCTGTAGTTCAGCTTAATAAAAACTGATTGCATGCTTTTCTTTCTCCATATAAGCATGCATATAAACCATTTCACTGAGCCCATGCATGAGGCTCCAAGCTTAGGTGAACCTGCTGATGTTTGATAAGTCTGGCATTGGTGATGAAACCTCTCCCGCACACAGAACAGGAAAATGGATGGATACCGGTGTGAACAACTTGATGTGTGACAAGCCTTGCCCTTTCATTAAAGCGTTTTCCGCATTCGGCACATGAGTACGGCTTCTCCCCGGTGTGAGTCCTCTGATGTATCAAAAGATGGTCACTGCGAGTGAAATGCCTTCCACATTCGGCACATGAATACGGCTTCTCTCCCGTGTGGATCTTCTGGTGCTTACTAAAAGCCGAATACAGCGAAAAACACTTTCCGCATTCCGAGCACGTATATGGTCTTACTCCAGTGTGCGATCTCTGATGCTCAATAAAAGTGGTTCTCCAGGTAAAACATTTCCCGCATTCTGGACACGAGTATGGCTTCACCCCTGTGTGAGTCCTCTGGTGGTTGGTAAGGCTGGTTCTCCGGGTAAAACATTTGCCGCATTCGGAGCATGAAAACGGCGTCAAACCAACATGAATCCTTTGATGTTTGGCGAGGTAGGCTCTTCGGGTGAAACATTTCCCACATTGGGAACAGGAAAAGGGCTTCTCTTCTGTGTGCAGTCTCAGGTTGGAGGTGAGGTCTTCCTTCTGGCTAGGATGTTCACCACAATCAAAAGATGGCAATGCATCATCCCCGCTACAAAACATTTGGTGGGTGATGGGAGGACAGAAATCGGGAAAACTGCCCTCATGTGTAAAACGATCGGATAACAGATCTGTACTTGGAAGCATCAGATTTGGGTTAATGCTGTTTACTTCACACCTTATCACCTCATCATCTTCTGTTTTACCATCTTCAGTGATAAAGGGGAATTTCGCTACTTGATTTCTGTTGTATTGTCCATCTGGAGGAAATAGGAAAATAGAAGTTAAGTCATAAACATTGGCTTATAAAAAAGGGTTTTCAATAGTGTTCAAAAAACGTTTCTATATCTTAAAAAAGAGATATTATGGTGGACATGATATTGTTTTCTGACATACAGATGACTTCTGAAGCAATGTATGTCTTTATAGCAGAATATTTCATGTCCTAAGGGGAGAAGGGGCCAAGCTTGTGGAGTAGTCAAAGGATGACGCAAGTGCAGTTTCCCTAGTGTATACATATTGACCATACGTAAATATATGTAACCTTGTATATTCCAATAAAGAGATGAAATAACATCGTCTGAGTTGTACAATGTATTTTCCAGCTTTTCCAGGGACTAAGCTGGACCAATGTAACCATGCAAAAATAGCTATATCAGGAATTCAGCTTTAATGAGATACATTTCAGATGCTAGGACTGTTAAGAGGAAAGATGAAACTCTGATAGTTTCATCTTTGGGGCAATTGGGAAATAAAGCCTGTTTATGACTTTAATAAGATGTGAAATGAGTCTTATTGACAAATAATTACATATGCAAGAGCGCACTCTTCAGCAGTGGTTCTCAAAAATAAAGCATCACAGCTCCCTTAGTGCACTCCACCTCCCATAGTAGCCCACAGTGCTCCCATGCCCCAAGAGCCCTCAGCCTCCACAGTGCCCTCCAACCTCCCACAAGGTCACAGCCTCCCAAAGTACCCCAATCTGTTGCAGAGACTCTAGCCTTCTTTAGTGCCCCAAAACTCCTACAGTGCCCCCCAGCCCTCTCAAGAAACCTCATTGCTAATGGGTCACCAAGTTTGCTACAGAGTGCCCTAACTCATTCGACAACTCCTATCTACCCCACAGAAACACCCGACTCCAACCAGAGCCTTCCAGCATTTCTGGTACCAAAAATAAACCTTATTGCAACAGTAATTACATAATTAGTCTGGCTCTGAAAAAAAAGACAAAAGTCCATCCAGTTCAACCATTAAAAAAAGAGTTATAATCCTATACCCACAGTTGATCCAGAGGAAGGCAGAAAACCCAGCAAAGCATGATCCAATTTGCTCCTGCAGGGGAACAAATTCCTTCCTGATCCCCTGAGAGGCAATCGGATATTCCCTGGATCAACTTTACCTATACATGTTAATATCCAGTTATATTCTGTATATGCCGATGTTAGTGCATCAATCTCCCCGCTGAGGTATTGTGTTCTGTCAGGGGGACTTCCCCTCCCACCAGAACACAGTGATCAGTGCTGACCGCCATTGGCTGCCAGCACTGATCACATGCTGGTTTGCCAGCATGCTTGTTCGACATAGGCCGGTCATGAGACCTGCTTCCGTCAGTTGAGGAGTTGTACACTCGGGCCAAAAGGTAAGCGGTTCCTGCTGAACCTTTATGGCCCATGTGTACCCAGCCTTAGTCACAGATGTAATCTGACAAAATTGGGTACAGGGTGATTGAGAACTTAACAAGATAGAATGAGCATCACATCCATGCAGGAGCTTTGCACCGTAAACCAAAAGATATAGAATGATAACGTACAGGCCTGTACTAGTCAAGAGTCAAGAGTAATACAGAGAGAAGTTGTGCATGAAGCTTCGTATAATGTTGTCCTTTATGGTCCATAGTAAATTGTGGTCAGTGATGATTGCTTTTAATGGCCTGAGGGTTGAGGAATAAAACAGGTTAAGTTTCAGTCAGGTGGAGTAAGAGGATAGGTTACACAAAGAAAGCCAAAAGTCAGAGAGTTAAGTATAGAATAATGGGGAACTGGAAAAGAAATAGGGAAGAAAGAGATAAGGCAGAAAGTGATGGGGGTCTACCACAGGGGCCACTCTGACACATCCCTAGGAAGGAGGTGAGTAGATGAGTAGAAAGTCTCCTCATGGGTCAGAGTTGGTCTAGTCGCAGAGTAAACCATGAGGTTCGTAATCCAACCAAAAGGACCATATTTAAAAGAACCTATCAAGGTTCCTTTATCTTCCAAGTTTATGACTTTTATAAGACGTGAAATGGGTCTTATAGACAAATAATTACATATGCAAAAGCGCACTCTTCAGTAGTGGTTCTCCATAATGCTTCACAGCTCTCAGAGTGCACCCCACCTCCCATAGTAGCCCACAAGCCCTCTGAGAGCCCTCAGCCTCCACAGTGCCCTCCAACCTCCCACAAGGTCACTCAGCCTCCCAAAGTGCCCCATTCTGCTACAGAGCCTCTAGCCCTCTATAGTGCCCTGAATCTCCTACTCACTCCACAACCCCCATCTACCCCACTGCAACACCCAACTCCAACCAGAGCCTTCCAGCATTTCTGGTACCAAAAATAAACCTTATTGCAACAGTAATTGCATAGTTAGTCTGGCTGAAAAAAAGACAAAAGTCCATCCAGTTCAACCATTAAAAACAAAAGTTATAATCCTACACCCACAGTTGATCCAGAGGAAGGCAAAAAATCCAGCAAAGCATAATCCAATTTGCTCCTGCAGGGGACAAAATTCCTTCCCGATCTCCCAAGAGGCAAGCTGGTCTGGTCGTGGAGTAAACAATGAGGTTTGTAGTCCAACCAAGGGGACCATATTTAAAAGAACCTATCAAGGTTCCTTTATCTTCCAAGACCGCAGTCAGTTTTGCATTAACAAAGGTGCCCTGAAGTCTCAACTTTTCTTCTTCAAGGTTAAGGGACGGTGATCTCCGTGCAGGTGTTATGGTTTGTTTTGTAGCCATGAATATGTGGATAATCAAAAGGGATGTCTTTTATTGGTCCCTGGAGGGGAGCTTCCCATGGATTTTTGTGGATGGAGGTCGATCTGTGTTATTGAATAGTATACAGTGGGGCAAAAAAGTATTTAGTCAGCCACCAATTGTGCAAGTTCTCCCACTTAAAAAGATGAGAGAGGCCTGTACTTGGCATCATAGGTAGACCTCAACTATGAGAGACAAAATGAGAAAAAAAATCCAGACAATCACATTGGCTGATTTGGAAAGAATTTATTTGCAAATTATGTTGGAAGATAAGTATTTGGTCAATATCAAAAGTTCATCTCAATACTTTGTTATATATCCTTTGTTGGCAATGACAGAGGTCAAACGTTTCCTGTAAGTCTTCACAAGGTTGGCACACACTGTTCCTGGTATGTTGGCCCATTCCTCCATGCAGATCTCCTCTAGAGCAATGATGTTTTGGGGCTGTCGCTGGGCAACACGGACTTTCAACTCCCTCCAAAGGTTTTCTATGGGGTTGAGATCTGGAGACTGGCTAGGCCACTCCAGGACCTTGAAATGCTTCTTACGAAGCCACTCCTTCGTTGCCCGGGCGGTATGTTTCGGATCATTGTAATGTTGGAAGACCCAGCCACGTTTCATCTTCAATGCCCTTGCTGATGGAAGGAGGTTTGCACTCAAAATCTCACGATACATGGCCCCATTCATTCTGTCCTGTACATGGATCAGTCGTCCTGGTCCCTTTGCAGAGAAACAGCCCCAAAGCATGATGTTGCCACCCCCATGCTTCACAGTAGGTATGGTGTTCTTTGGATGCAACTCAGCATTCTCTCTCCTCCAAACACGACGAGTTGTGTTTCTACCAAACAGTTCTATTTTGGTTTCATCTGACCATATGACATTCTCCCAATCCTCTTCTGGATCATCCAAATGCTCTCTAGCAAACTTCAGACGGGCCCAGACATGTACTGGCTTAAGCAGGGGGACACGTCTGGCACTGCAGGATCTGAGTCCCTGGCGGCGTAGTGTGTTACTGATGGTAGCCTTTGTTACGTTGGTCCCAGCTCTCTGCAGGTCATTCACTAGGTCCCCCCGTGTGGTCCTGGGATTTTTGCTCACCGTTCTTGTGATCATTTTGACCCCACGGGGTGAGATCATGCGTGGAGCCCCAGATCGAGGGAGATTATCAGTGGTCTTGTATGTCTTCCATTTTCTAATTATTGCTCCCACAGTTGATTTGTTCACACCAAGCTGCTTGCCTATTGCAGATTCAGTCTTCTCAGCCTGGTGCAGGTCTACAATTTTGTTTCTGGTGTCCTTCGACAGCTCTTTGGTCTTCACCATAGTGGAGTTTGGAGTATGACTGTTTGAGGTTGTGGACAGGTGTGTTTTATACTGATAACAAGTTCAAACAGGTGCCATTGATACAGGTAATGAGTGCAGGACAGAGGAGTCTCTTAAAGAAGAAGGTACAGGTCTGAGAGAGCCAGAAATCTTGCTTGTTTGTAGGTGACCATATACTTATTTTCCACCATAATTTGCAAATAAATTCTTTCCAAATCAGCCAATGTGATTGTCTGGATTTTTTTTCTCATTTTGTCTCTCATAGTTGAGGTCTACCTATGATGCCAATTACAGGGCTCTCTCATCTTTTTAAGTGGAAGAACTTGCACAATTGGTGGCTGACTAAATACTTTTTTGCCCCACTGTATACTCTTATCCATAGACTCAACCTCCGCAACATCTCTAAATTACGCCCCTCCCTAACCTCTTCAGAGAGGCCTACCCTCCCCTCACCTAACAACTGTACTTCTACTTTCTCCATCAGCTCATCTCCCACATTTTTAACCTTTTGTATCTCTTAACCCTCCATTTTAGATTGTAAGCTCTAACGAGTAAGGCTCTTACTGTATTAAATTGGATTGCAAGTGCACTGTCTGCCCTTATGTTGTAAATTGCTGCATAAATTATTAGCACTATATAAATCCTGTATAATAATAATATTAGGAGGGGTT